AAAAAAAGCTCCTGAAACTCACATGTACGTTGCATTATGAACATTAAACTAAAATTAAGAACAACGATTTTATCAATTTGTTTTGGAGTTCACGCGCATTAATTAATATGGAACTTCGTCAAAATCGATCGTTTCCAATTCATTGTATTGCATAATAGGAAATTAGTAATACATGATTCTCGTGACCAAGAGTAAGGCTACAAAACTGTTCGAGAGTTACTCAACTTGACCTTGAGGGGGTTTTGGGGTCAATTCATTGCCATTTTAACCCAGATAGAGAAACTGAAGCAGTTTTCGTAGAGCCGTGTGGGGCTGCGGTATGTTAATGCTGTAGACTGATCGATAGTGTCTATATTCAAGTGTAACGGAGGAAAGAAAAACACATTTTTGGCATTTTGCACGACTTAAAAAGCAGATGTTTATTTTCTTTCTTTTTTGAAATTGAATATCATGGTGTTGTCATATCAGCATTTATTTGTCTCAAATTTAATTTTTTTAAAGTAATTTTAAGGATGTGTTGCCTACATCATTTACTGCATTTAAAAAAGTTAATTCTTTTAAAAATTACCTTAAAAACTTAAATCTTAACTTATAAAAGAACACTTGTATATTAATGGTTTCTCTTGAGGTTGGAAATATCATGCTAATTTATAGAAAAGAATAAGCTCATGTGCAACTTCAAAGTGTTGTTTTGTAAGTAAATTTTAAGGATAAGTCTTGAAATAAATACTTAAAAAAATTAATTTCAAATAATTAACCTTGTTTCAAAGTGACAAACTATTTTATAGCGCACCTCACCCTCCTCCAAAAACCAAAAAAAAAAAAAAAAAAGCGCTAAGCTCATGCATGCAGATCGGTCATCATTTTGGGTTGGTCGAATTTATAATTTTGGGACCAGAAACTGAAATGGGACAAGCTTTCTTATCTTTTCCCATGTCTAACACTGTCAATCGGTTGGGACAACCACTTCCGGTTTGTTTGTATTAGAAATTGATGCCTATAAAAAGCTATAGAATCAGTGCAAATGAAATCAGGTTAATTAGCCATTCTCTGATTTCTTAAGAGTTCTCTTTGCCACTCAGTTAAATTAGTAATCACCATGGAACAGCAGATTCAAAGTTACCCAGCGAT